AGCTATAGTTTAAAATGCAACAGTCCTGAAGTCTAGTAACAAGTTGATCATGTTATGCAGATGTTAACTTGGCCTATTAAAAATAATTCAGACCTGGTCAGAGCAAAAGTTTGCTGGGATAGCTTAAAAATATGGTCAGGTTGCTCTATTAGAAGGTCAAACAGTTTAACTATGTTGTAACAGATACATTATAATTGGGACTCTTAACAGTGCTGTGGTGTGACTGGGTGCAAGGAGTGCTTTAGAGTGTGTTTAAAAGTAGAACGTCTTGCTTCTGTGCCTTTCCCAGGCTAGACTAGTAATAGCTTGGCCAATTCCTTTTTGCTCCTCACTTTAAGATCACAGTATTATGAAAGGCCAGTATACTTAAATAATCTCAAAAATCTGTTTGTGTTTACTTTGCCAGTTTTTTGGCAAACCTTGTTGCTGATTCATTTAGTGAGCATAGCTTTCAAAAGTAGCAAACATTTAGTAACCAAGTTTGAGACTTTGACCCAAACTTCAAAACAGCAGGACTGCATTTGACTTGAAGGCAATTGCCAATATTTCTGGAGATTGGGCAGGAAATGTTACGTTATGCATCCAGACAGAATAGATTGGTTTATAGCCTTACTTCATTGCTGTTATCTTTGCAATTTAAAACCTAAATGATTATGGAGTACATCTTGTACTAACTGATAAATTGCTGTGTTCTGTTGTAGTGGAAAAACCAAACAAACAAAACCAAAACCAAACCTGTTGACTGAAGTATTCACTAAGACACACTTGATGTGTCTGCCTTGGTCACACCAAGATTACTCCACTTTCCCAACAGTGACATTCTGTTAGGTTGAAAGAAAATAAAAATGTTTAGTGCAACTCTAATAGTAGAATGAACCCCGTTCACATACTGATCAAAAATGTGTTTACATCAGAACAGCTCATGGTGTTTTCCAGATCAGAAAAAGCTATCACAATGTAAGCGTAGCTGTGCTTATACTATACTGTGCATATGTAATCATGAGCAGAAAAGAGAATGGCTGCAAGAGCAGTGAGTATTTGCAGTGTAATGGTGAAGTTACAGCTGTTGTACAGACCTCTATTAAAATCTAAATTTACTGCTTTAAAATAGGAGTGCTGCTTGGTTGAAGCTAAAATAATTTGCAACTTGGCATTTATAATAAGATACAAAGTTGTTGCATAAACAAAAACCCATCTATTAGAACATGCAGATCACCTGTGGTGTGTTTGGAGGAGTAGAGTATTGTCCCAGAATCTGGAATGGGGTAGTCTGGAAAAATCATGCCAACGCAAATTATTCAGTACTGAAATAATTATTGAAAAATAAATTATTACTTTAATGATGAAGCCATATTTTCCTTCAAAGCCATTTCAGAAGCTTTCCGTTCCTTAAATTGCAAACTAGGTGGCATCATAACAGGAAGGTTTCTAGAACATCGTTAGCATACAAACGCTGCTAGTCTGTAATGTAATACAGGCTTGCCATTGTCACTCACTTTGTTTTGTGCCATTAGTTGTAAAGAAAACCTAATTTAAAGAGTTACATTTTAAAACCCACAAAGTGTCTTGCTGCAGAAATAGAACCCAATGGATGTTTTACTGTGAATTCTTTTTAAGCAACTTTTCTTCCTCTGACTTTGACTTTGTACAGATGACTTGTGTTCTTGCTTTACTTAGCCGTGAAGACTTCCAGCGGATTCCAGAGCTTGCCATCAATCCACTGGGAGACAGAATTATCAATGCCTTCTTTCCAGAAGGGTGAGTTCCAATGGACTGAATTTGCAAGGAGGCACAAAATTTGTAGTTCGTCAGAAGTTTTGATAGGGGTGAAATGCTGATAATTAAAGCACAGAATTTGAATTTGCTGATAATTGAATACCTCAAACTTGTCATGAATTGTGTGTGGATACATTGTTTCCTCAGCACGTTTTCATTCTGTAATGAGAAATACTTCACAAACTTACAAGACTTTTCTGTGCTTTATTCATTGACAAACTCAGGTTTCATGTCACAGTTTTCTTCTTGCTATGCAGCTGAACACTTCTAAAGAAGGTCAAGGGCATTGTTACGGTTTAACCCCAGTCGGCAACTAAGCACCACACAGCATAGCTGCTCGCTCCCTCCTCCTCCACGGGATGGGGGAGAGAATCAGAAGAGTAAAAGTGAGAAACTCGTGGGTTAAGATAAAGACAGTTTAATAGGTAAAGCATAAAGCCAGTCATGCAAGCACAGCAAAGCAAGGAATTCATACACTACTTCCCCTGGGCAGGCAGGTATTCAGCCATCTCCAGGAAAGTAGGGCTCCATCATGTGTAATGGTGACTTGAGAAGACAAACGCCATCACTCCAGACATGCCCACCTTCCTCCTTCTTCCTCCAGCTTTATATGCTGAGCATGATGTCATATGGTATGGGATATCCCTTTGGTCAGTTGGTGTTGGCTGTCCCAGCTGCGTCCCCTCCCAGCTTGTGCACCCCCAGCCTACTCACTGGTGGTGGAATGGTGTGAGAAACAGAAGAGGCCTTGACTCTGTGTAAGCGCTGCTCAGCAATAATGAAAACATCCCTGTGTTATCAACACTGTTTTCCAGCACAAATCTGAAACATCACTATACTAGCTACTATGAAGAAAATTAACTCTATTCCAGCCAAAACCAGCACAGGCATGTATGAACTTTGATTCTTAAAGCAAATTTGTAGCAATGCTATATTATGCCAAGTAGTATTGCAATTAACTAATTCAGTCTTGTTTTTCACCTTTTAGCCTCTAAGTGTACCTTTGTTATTAGATCAGCTTTGTTTGTTTGTTTTTAGTTTTGATCACATTTAAGGCATACCTTACAGCACTTCTAACATAAATCCAGAGATTATCAATTTGCAGTACTGTCTTCATTATAACTCTCTAGGTTGTTCTATGGAATCTGCTGCTGTTCTTGAACACATTTGTCATTAATGATTGATGAAGATTGGATTGTCTAATCAAGTCATATCAGCTAATATCAAGCAGGCTTTTCTGAATAGAAAGCAGGACTCCTGGAAAGTACTTGTATAGCTGATTCTCAGAAACTAGAGGAGAGTTATTTGTCAGAGAGCAGTGAGCAATGGCTGCCCCACAATCAGGAGCCGAGGGTGACAGCAAAGCTGTACTTGGTGACAAAGGGCACAGCACCTGAACAAGAGAAGCAGAGCAGGTCCAGTGAGTGTTGTCAGGCTAGCCAGCAGTCCAGTGGTTGCCAGACAAGTTGACGGGTGAAGCTAGTCTCCAGTCAGTCCGGGGAATCAGGGTCCAAATCAGCAAGGTACATTGCCACACTCAGGCATAGCTGCAGGATAGTTCAGGCAAGGCTCGGGAGTGGGGGCCGGAGCTTAAATAGCCCTGGCAGGCGAGGGGAGCAGAGCCCTCAACAAGACTTCTCACAGCTTCCTTTTTTACACATCATGTCTCATAGCAGTGTGATCCCAGGTTGCAACTGTGCTGTATCAGTGCTGGGTTTGAGCATAGGCAGCCAAACCCTGGGGAGGTGGGAGTGGAAGAGTCTGCGTGGTCTTGATGCTTTAGATGTTCATGCTCTTCTTTACTGAAATAAAGAACCTGTATAAGCTATGCTAAAACTGACCTGCTGAAATGCTTACGCAGAGAGGACCAGGTGAATTTCCGTGGATTCATGAGGACACTCGCCCACTTCCGACCCATAGAAGATAATGAAAAGAGCAAAGACCAGAATGGACCAGAACCACTGAACAGCCGAAGTAACAAACTCCACTGTAAGAAATGTGAACCTTCCTATAGAAGCAATTACTTTTTTTTTGTTTTCTGGGAAGGGAGTGAAGGGGCTTGGGGTCTTCTGTACAGTGGTTTGCTGTGGAATGATATCTTTAAATACCTCATTTGTAAAATTAACTTGCAAGCTTACCTGTTCAGAATGTCAGCAATTGACCCATTGTTGTACTGGAATTTGGTGGAATTGGTGGAATCTTGAGTAACGTATATGCTTTTCCAAATGTCTCATAACAGAAGTATTTTGAAATGGTTTGCATCCAAAGTTATTTCAGATTTAGAAGCCACATCCTATACGTGAATGGGCTTTTCTGCTTCTTTCTCTGGTCTTCCATATGTAAGATAATGCTTTTTCCTCACCTTCAGCTGAGTGCTTACTTGAGTATTTGGACGTCTGCCTATAGTATATGAGCAGAATGCTCTTGCTCGTTAATCAAAGTTGGCAACAGTCCTCAGAGCACTTAAAACTGTCATATCTCATCCAGAATATGGTCAATGAATGGTAATGTAAAAATGGTTGGCTCTGAAGTTAAAGGATTGAATGTGTCTTAGTGGTAATTCTACTTCCATGTCTTGGGGTTTTGGAGACATACCTCTACAAGTAGAGTGCTTCTGTAAGTACCCATACTGAGTACTCAAGTAAGATTTTTTCATTTCGTGGCAATAGTGGTATTCCTATATGTGGTAATAACACTTTATGAAACTGAACATGAATTTTATGGTGAATTAAAATTCTAAGCTAATTCTCTTAAAATAATTTATGAATACTTTTTTAAAATATAACTGTATTGTTATGAAGAAAAATAATGGCACTTGAATTAAATGGCTTATTCTTTTCTTCCCTGTAGTTGCTTTTCGTTTATATGATCTAGATAAAGATGACAAGATTTCCAGGGATGAACTGCTTCAGGTAAATAGCACAGGGTTACTTTGAATGACTCCATCATTACCTTTGCTGTGACTTCACACCCATTTAAAATGAAGAGGGGCGTTACAACAGTCATCTCAAAAGAACTCCTGAGGGAATTTGGTGGCTAATTTCTTACCTATGGTTTAAAGCTTTAGATATGATATGAGACTTTAATCTCATTTGATAGCCTACGCTGTTCTATCAGACTAGGAATGATAGATTCAAATTTAAACCAGAGCGTTAGGCTAAGCAGATTCTCTTGGAAATGAAACCTAAATATCCAACAAATACACTAAGCCCCTTAAGAACTACCTTCTATAGCTTTCAAATGTGCTTCTAAGAGGACTTCACAGGGACAATCCTTGAGATGGATGAGGTTGTTTGCCTGATCCTCTGTGCATCCTCTCAATAAAACAAAACCTCTTGAAATGGCAGCAAAGGTAATCAAAGTTCATCAGTGCTGCATATATATGAAACTAGGCTTGAGCTAGGAGTAATTACATACTACTAATCCTGGGAAGTAGACATGGCAATTTGTGGTTCCTGATGTAGGACAAGGATTTCCTTTTGACTGAAACTGCCCTCTTATATCTGCACAGAAAATGCTTTACTAACTGTAGAGAGTAATGGCAGTTATCATTTGACTATATACTTAGAAGATTCCTGTAGGCAATTATCTCAAACAGCAGATATTAAATCAAATGTCGGAATGTTTTATGGGAAAAAAATAGACAAAAGCATTGGAACAAAACGTACTCATTCCTAGTTCCAAAAGCTTTCTCATACTTCTACCTCTTCCTGCTGCCTAGTGAAAAAACAGGATCCTCTGTCAAAGGTGGCTACAAAAGGAAGCTGTCTTTCCTGAAAGCCTTAATGTACAAAGGACAAATGGAAGTCTGCCTAGAAATGACTTCCACAGAAATCCTCCAGGGATGTTCTTGTATGGTGTTATTTTGACAGTATACACAAGAAAAACAGCTCTAAGAATAATTCTGTTCCTACATCAATGTGTTTTTTTTTTGTTTTGTTATTTAAAAAAAAAAAATCTAAGGACTTCTGTATGTTACAGGTATTACGGATGATGGTTGGTGTAAACATTTCAGATGAGCAGCTGGGCAGCATTGCTGACAGGACAATCCAGGAGGCTGATCAAGATGGAGATAGTGCCATCTCCTTTGCAGAGTTTGTAAAGGTTGGTAAACTACATTTTTAACGACTAAATGAAACTGCTCAGTAATGAGCAACTCATTCACACCTAAACGCAAATGGAAAGAGAGGAAGTCATTCAAATAGTCCTGCCTGCATTTGAGCAAAACAAGCCTTCTGCTAGCTCTTTTTATTCCCTTCTTTATCAAGATTTTTTTTTTTAGTACTGTCAGGGTACTAATAATTAGTCCATATGTTTTGTCATACTCTTACACAAGGTACAGCACTGAACATACTGCAGAATTTTCACTTGTTTTCTTTTGCAACCACTTCTTTCTACACACGTAGCCTGACTAGCACAGTTACAACAGAATAATTCTTCTGCTATAATTGTGATCAGTTTTCACTAGTAGATTCTATCTGTTAGCGACACAACTAATATCAGTATTCAAGTTCCTAGCTCTAGTCCTTTGAATTACATCTTTTGCCAGTCAGAAATAGGTAATAGTAAGGAGTCGTCATATAGTAAGGAGTCGTCATATAGTCAGTGGAGAAAGTTGTCCTATAGCAGAACAATTTCAACTACCTAGTGGGATGGTATTGACAAAATGAACCAGACTCATCTTTGAGGTGGACGAAGACAAGACGAGTTGCAACATGGGAAATTCTAATTAGCTATAAGGAAAACTTTTTACCAAGAGGATGATCATAGCTGCTGAAGATGTAGAACCTCCATCCTTAGAGATATGTAAAACTTAACTGGACAAGGCCCTGAGCAGCCTGCTCTAGCTGGCTGTGCTTTGTAGAAGTTGAGGGAATTGGACTGAAAGACCTCCAGAGGTCTCTTCAAACTTCAATTACTGAAATCTTGGAACACTGAAGTCTACTGCCTGAAACAGCCTGGAGCAGACTAATGTCTTTGTACCTCAGTGTTAATAGCAATTTAGTGATTGAAGTTGCAACCCCTGTTTTACAACGATCTGCATTAGTTATGCTGTGGTGTTGATTTTAGCTCTTCAATGACTGCTCATGCCCCTTCCTCTAATCTGTTCTCCTGTCTGTGCATTCCCACACAAACTAATTTTGAGAATCCAAGCCTTTCTGGCCTGTTGGCAGACTGAAACTGCATTAGTTACTTTTTGGTTGACTGCATTCTTCCAGCTTTCATGGCTGAAGTTCCTTTCCTTGGAAGGACCTTAGTACAGAATGAAAAGTAGCAGTCTTCTAGATGAAAGACTGGCATGCCAAATTGAAGACATCCCATGTTCCTGCCCATTTCCTCTATACTGGAGTAAGAAACTTTGTAGGAGGGAAGTACATACAGTAACTTAAGTAGTTGTTTCTGAATTTTATTGCAGGTTTTGGAGAAGGTGGATGTAGAGCAGAAAATGAGCATTCGATTTCTTCACTGATGGATGGAGAACCTATTCCTTTCAACTTCTACTATATAATGAATAGACCTTCATTTTCTCCTTAGCACCTTCCCACAGAGCATTGCTACTGGTGCATATACAATACATCTCCAACTCCTCCCTGATTTGTTCTACCAATGTGAACATTCCCTGTGCATCAGGAACAAAGGGAAATGGCTGCCACACAACTTGGAATGGAGCATTTTTTTTTAAAAAATCTTTTTCCTTCCATATTTTTTACCCTTTCTCCCTTGTCTCCTCCTGCACTACTGTTTCAGCAAAAATGTCTCTCCTTGTGTACTGCTGTTTAATCTACAGACTGATTCTTCTGAGCTCTGAGTCTGAGAATGAGAAAACAGGGACATGCCACAGAAGCGCCCTCTGAAACACTTTGGAGACAAGCATCTACTTAAATACTAGGTGCAGTGATAATGATTCACTTTTGCTTCCAGTAGCAACACCACATTACAGCTGCCTTTCCTTTCCCATTTGGCACTTTACATGCAGATTTCTTTATTCTCTGCTTCCAAATCTGCCTTTTACTTGAGGACTTCTCAATTTCTATGGCTTCGTTGTATGACTAGCACTGGATGCATGATGATAGCTTAGAGTACTTTGAAGTACTGTGAATAGATTTTACTCTTTGTGGGATAAATTCACAGGGACAACAGGAGAATCTGTGGTGGAGACAGGCTGTGGTGTCCTCAAAAGCAATAGCAATTCTGCACCAAGTCACTTAAATTCTTCCCATAGGAAATGCAGAAACTTGTTTCTTTGAGTAGCTTGCAGGCTTGACAGCCAGTGGACCATGAAGTGCCCTCTCCAGGTTGCTTTGCTCTAGGATCCCTCTTCTCATCAGGGTGGTTTTGCCTCTGAAAGTGTGAATTTGTTTACCAATGTACACAATGCAAGAAAACTAGTCATGCCAAAATCTGGATTTGTAGTTCTGCCACTTCCCCCTGGTAACAGTGTCATGAAACATAATACTAATTTTATTTTTTTATTTTTTTTAATCATAGTGGCCTGGATAATCAGTAATTACTTACATTTTCCAGTATGGAAGTCCTGATCTGTTAGATTTGTGTTGAGGGTGGTAGCTGTATTTAAGAAAGCTCCAGTATAAGAATATGATTTGGGGAAGTATGAACTATCCCAAATACTTAAGAATATATTTCTACACAAATCTCTTTGCAAGTGTAAGACGATTAATACCATTCATATGCCAATAAATTAAAGAGATCAAAATTATTGAAGGTTCAATAGTAACATATTTTTCTGTGGCTAGATTGACAAATGATCTCATTAGTTCAGCTGGAGCATCCTACAGTCTGGAAGGTCCTTCCAATAAAACAAAAAGCCGTGGGACCTTCTTTGTTGAAGAATCAGTGTTATAACTGCTTCTGTGTCATGCGTTAATATTTCTCTAAATACTTACCAGTCTCAAACTACTCTCAAATGTGCATTTCCTTTTTCCTCAGTTCCTTTAATGATCACTTGTGTTAAAGAATAACAAGCAAGTCTCTTAAGGATTTTTCATTTGTTTTAAATTTAAGAATTGCAAAGTGAAACGTTGCACTTCAGTGTTCTGCAGAGTGCAACACAGTTCCAGAAAGAAGTGTAAATTAAAAACCTCTACTCTGTATGAGAAAGATACATTATAGTTTTATGACCATGTCATGTAAAATAGGAATGTAACAATGTTAACAGATTGAAAAGTAAAAAAGTGTGTGTAGGCTTTGTGATTTGCTTAAAAGTAGGTGTTGCTCTCTTCTTGCCATGGCTTGTAACCTACAGTTGTGCCTTATTGTCCCAGTGAGACTGGATATTGTATTTATCAATCCATAAATAAACCTTCCACTGTATATAAAAAAAAAACAACACACACAAAGAAAAAAAAAACTATTCCTGTATGGTAGTTGACTATCCTTTAACGACTGGAAAAGTTAAATACCAGTAGAATGGAGCTTGCAGGCCTTGCAGATCAATTTCTTATAACTGAGCTTGTTTTCAGTGTATTAGCAATCCTTTATTCTGCTGGTAGAGTGGAGGAAACTAGTGCAAAACATGAGCCTTCAGAAGAGGACACGCATACTGAACTATGGATCCTATAACAACATGAGCTTTACACCTCTCCATGGTTCCAAACTAGGCTTCCCCCTCACCCTAGTGGTGCAGCATTGTTCTAATTAAAGTGTATATAATATCAGTGCTACTTTGTGATGTCCATCCTTATAAGCCCCCACCTTAGACATTAGGTTTTTTGTTAATGTGCTTTATGGTGAACACAAATACTGTAATAGGTACACAGGAAAAAAAAAAAACAATGACAAAAAAACAAAACAAACCCCAACCAAAACAAAACAAAGACCAACTACCCTTCCTGCAATAAACAAAAAAAACCCCAACCAACTGTCAGAATCTAACTTTGCTCTTAGCTGTGTAAATCACATGGAAGGCACTGAGTATCTTATTCAGTGTTCCGGAAGCTATGTATTGAACATGCAAGTCAAAAGGTAGTAGACGGTAAGAGACGGAGTTTTACAGAGCTGAGATCTTAAATTTATGTTAAATTTAAAATTTTTCAGAACTAAGCTGTGCAGATATAAGCAAACTTCCATAGAAGTATTTTTTGCATACCTGGTCACTTGTGGAAATTATTTTAAAGTCTTCTTGAGAACAAAAACCATCTGTGAGGGCTGAAGTCTGGAAGAGGGATGAGATTATCAGCTCAGAGGCAGAACTGCTTAACGTTTCATCTTTGTCTTTTGAAGAAGCAGTATAAGGGACAGGTATTTAAATACAGATGAACCATTTTCTGGTCTACTGGCAAATAGGAAGTAGTGTCTTATTTTTGAATCTGCAGGCTCAAGTTATGTTGAGAATCTCGGATGGTTGGCTGCAGAATCTATGGTTAGAATTAGTTTTCATGAGCTGTTGAGTATTACGAAGACTAGAGAAAGCGGACATAGATTTGATAGCTAGTCAGTGGTGGCAAATGAGTTGACTTAAATAGCTGTAGGCCCATTGGCTTTGTTGGCATGTAGTCTGGGCAAAACGAAAGAATCCGAATATAGGATTTTACTTGTGAAGAGCAGGAGTGAAAATAATGTTAGTTTTCATAACTTTACAATGGAGTATTACTTTTAAAGTCTTTCAGTTCTTTGAAACGTCAACTTTTGTTGTATGTAGCATGGATATTTTAAGTTGGCAGGAGTGTTTCATTTAAGCTGACAATCCGTGTTAAAATATTGCATAGTAGAAAAGCATGCATTGCAAACGGATGAAGACTTCAACTGAAGCGGCCTGTTGTAGTTGTGATGAATCGCGGTTAAATGGGGGTGTTTCTCCCGAGTTTTCTGAATGGGTAAGTACGTCTTCGTCCTCCTCCTCCTCACAGCGTGCAGTACGTTCACCCGTCAGCTTGAAGTGTAAAATTACCGCTGCTAACAACAACAAAAAAAAATCATTTTTGCAGATGACACGAAACCTGGCAGTAATTCAGAGCCATCGAGATCCCTCGGTAGCCGGGGCCTGTGCCAGCGGCTGCGCTGCTTCGGGCGGGATTTACACACGCGTAGCGCGGGCGGCGGCGGGGCGGCCGTTGCCGCGCGATGAAATGGAGGAC